CACCAGTAACTGGCTGGATTACTCCTCATTCTGCCCTAGAGGAAACTGAAAACGTTTCCTCTCACCCTGCTCTTGAAAGACAGCAACCAGCCTGGCCTGTGGGTTCAGGAGCTACGCTGTGAGCAAACAGACCAGGAAAGGAGCAATCTTCGATCAGCCCTGCAAAGCCACGCTGCAGACTCTGGAGCTGTGACCGTCCACACATTTACTTAAATATTAAACTGGGCATCAAGTGCTCCAGGGGTGAACCTGGCAAAGGCATCCGGGAAACAGACACAGTGGGAATAGCTCTCTGAGGACTCTGGGCTTGGGCCACACTAGATTCTTCAGTTTGCTAACTCTCTGGTGACAGACTGCAAGAATTTTCTTTAAAGAGTTACCAATAAATAATTCTATTGCAGGTGCTGGGGTTTTAGCTCAGTGGCATAAGTGCCTGCCTGGCAAGCTCGAGGTTGTAAGTTGGAGCCCTGGTATCAAAAAAAGAAGAATTATACTACAATTGGGCATGGTGGTGCACGCATGTAATCCCAGCACTCAGGAGGCTGAAGCAGGAGGATCACCACAAGTTCAAGGCCAGCCTGGGCTACACAGTGGGTTCAAGGCCAGCCTGGGCTATATAGCAAGGCCCTGTCTCAAAAAGACAAAAACAAAACAAACAAAGAATTGTACTACAGCAATCCATGCATATTCACATTTATAGCAGTATAACTCATAATAGCTAAATGTTGGAAATAACTTGTTCATACATCAACAGATGTAAGGATAAGGAAAATGTAGTTTTTACACACAGGGAACACTACCCTGCCACAAAGAGGATACATTTGGTCATTTGTAGGAAAATGGAGGCACCTTGAGACCATCATGTTAAGTAAAACCAATACACAAGCTTAAACATCGCATAACTTCACTTATATAAGAAATCCAAACTATAAATGTAAAGCACTAAGAAAAGATAGCTAGACGATAGGATATAGGGAGACAGATCTTCCATCAATGGAAAGAGAGAAAGAAACAAAAAAAAATTAAAATACATTATATAGATGTCTCTGGTCCTCACAGTGAATGTAATCTAAGTGTATATCACACATGGACTAATAAAAAAATTAACACATGTAAAGAAATGCTTAAAAAGAAGAACTAATGAGGACTTTAGCATGAAGCAGCAGCTCCTTTTGAGGCTTAGAAATTTCCCACAAGTCTTCCCAGCCCGGGCCAGGAGGGGGAAGCGGGGGACGGGACACACACACCCCCCAAGGCACACATGTCACAGCAGGTGTCTGTATCCCTGAAAGCTCTTAACATGCTCACCACTGCTGCCTCAGCCTACACTTCTAGTGCTCTGCAATCAGACAAAGCATCATGATTGGGGTTGCGTTGGGGGCTCCACAAAAGGGAGACAGGTGAGTCACTGAGTCGGTTATCTTCACGCCAAGTTAAGGGCTGCCCTGGCCCTGGCAGCCTGACCTCTCCCCTGCACGAAGGGACTGACTTAGCCCCCTCATCCCTAACATTTTCCACCGCCTCTGGGGAGGGCATTTATGGTTTGCTTTCAGTCTGTGCCTGTGTGAGCTTGAGGGAGGCCGGAAATGGGGTTAATCTCCCCGTCCCACAGCAGGGATCAGCTTAAGCCTCAGTTTCCTGACTCTGTTAATGACCACAATAAAAGCATTCATCAGCCAGCTGGAAAAGCACTGAGGTTTCCCACTCAGTCTCCCACTGGAGAAGGCTGCACTAACCCAGGCTGCTGTGGGTAAGGTCAGAACCAAAGAGATGCTTTTGCAGCAAGCCATACCCGTCGTTAAACAGGTCCAGAGACGCTGAATTCAGTCCTGTAGTGGTGAGGACAGAACAGGGTGCAGCACAGGTGAGTCAGCTTCCCTACCAGCTCAGGCTTTGCCCGTGTCCACCTGCGTGATGCAGCAGCTTGCCCCTGGTGAAGCTTTGACTGAGGGTGTGGCAGCGTCAGGAGACCCAAGAGCGCACCCCAGCTGTGCTGGGCAGGGCTCCTCCAGAACCGTTCTGGACCAGGCTTCAGCAATGGGGAAAGGGTCAGCAGGTGGCTTCAAAGGTCCCCTCCTTCTGTAAACCTCTGAGTACCTCTTAATGAGAAGAGAGAAATGCAGGTTTACAGGCAGGGGATCAAAGACAGATGCTTGTCTACTGACTCCTTGGATTGATCAGAACTGTGATTTTTTTCATAGCAAAACAAGCTGGATTTATAACCAGGCCTGAAACCCAATCTTTGCCCCAAGTCTGCAGCATTGTCCACTACAAGTCACTGGGCAGCTGCCACGGGCCGGTGCCTGACCCCAGGCATACTAAAAGTGTCTGGAAAACAGCATTTGTGGAAGCTCTGGCTAGGCGCCAGGCATCGTGACAAGCACTTTGCATAGATTCTCACAACAGCCAGAGAGTTAGGAAATATTAACCCATTTTTTAAGTGACAAAATAGAGGTTGAAGGACCATGACCAAGTCACTTAGCCACAAGAGTCCATTTCCTGAGCGTGACATAAGTGGATGTCTCCACTCGACTTGAAAGACCCTTCCTCCTCTGGAACTCAAAATCAGCTTAGATTTGGTCACCCTCCAAATTCAGATGCCAAGAGAATGGACCAGTCTTCCCTCCGGCTCCGGCATCCAGCCCTTGCTCCAAGAGGCACCATATGGGCACTTCCTTGGGAGGCACAGACAACAAGGGGACCCATGAGTGCAAAGAAATCATGTGTCGCCTTCAAATAGCCCGGAAAACAGGAAAGGGTCACCTGTCGTGGAGGCCGCCCTGGCAGGAGTCAAGGGTCAGCCCCAGGATGGACACGGTACTTCTGCTCCATTCGGTTGAAGCTGCCGGTTGCCCAGTGGACAGAATGAAAGCTCCCTGCGGGCTCAGCTGAGGCCAAAACACCAAAATTCACATTGGCGATGAGAAGGGAGCTTCCTTGTGGTGCTTAAGGGTGCTCCCTCATTAACACCAGCACGGAGGCCCTGGCGTGCCCTTAGAAAGCACCTACTGTGTGAGGCCAGGCAGCCTGAGTCACCACCAAAGGCAACGGTGAGAACCACAAAGGTGTGTAAGACTCTGATGACCTCAGACAGGATCCCAGGGGCCACACAGAAATGTTCGGGATCGAGCAAGGTGACATCAGGCCTGGGTTCTCCTGAGGCCTCTCTCTCTCTTTACCTCACAAACGCTATATCCTCACCAGCCTTTCACTCGAGTTCTTTCCAGAGCCCCAGTCACAGTGCACTTCAGCCCCCTCCAATAACCTGACCACCTCACCGCCCCTGGGAGGCTGTATCTCCTACAATGACGGTCGCATCCTAAGACGCTGTGGGTTAGAAGTGGAGGAGACGTTCAATCCATGGCGACAGCATCCGCCCTCCCCAACTGTATGCATCTGAATTTCCTGTTCTTGGCAAAGCTCTCTTCCCTCTTCTACTATAGTTTAGCGCTTGCACAAAGCAAATCAGGAAAATGGTGGCTGGATCCACTTTTCCTAATTATTACTGTTACATCCACCTTTGTGAGACTGCAGAGCTTTTAAAGCTGGGAACTAGGAAGTAACCAGCTGGCTTCAGGCCTGGTGTAGGCAGCTGTCAATGAATGACTCTCCTGCTCCTGTTTATCGCATCTCCAGCACCAAAGAGCTTCACAGTGGGGTGGGAGCAGGGAAAGAGAAAAGAGGGAGAGGAATATACATCTAGGCCTGAAAGGCCATGTCGTGAGTCCAGCTCCTTTCAAGACATTTCTGGCCGAACCACCTGGTCAACAAGCCTGGGCCTGGGTCAGACAGAGAAGAAACCCTGAAAGGAATCCTGATTTCTTTCCTATTAACACTCGAATTCATTTTCCCTGCAGAACCCGGTCACATAGACCCCCAGGCCCTGACTTAAGAGTTCAAACCTCCAGTTTCAGATGTGCTTACGAATTTTTTTCCCTACCAGTTAAATAAAGCAAGAGGAGGAAGAGGAAGAGTTGTAAACTTTGGGTCATTTCCCAGATCACCAGTTGGTCACCTTCATGAATTTCATCTTAGGTATAGCTGGAAAAAACCTCTAACCCATACATCCATTCAATAAATATGCATCGGATACCTTCCACGGACCGAGATTGGGGCACAATGATGACAGCCATCTCTAGGGCAGTGCTGGTGAACCCCTGGCACCTTTGCAGCAGGGGACCACACAGCCCTCTCTTGGTGCCAGCCAAGGCTTGGCAGATTATCAGTAGACACAACAGCAAAGATCTCACTCACTGTGCAGGAGCCTGCCAGACACAAACTTTAACTTCTCAAGAAAAAGCTGTTTGCCTCATTGAAACTCTGCTGTTGTGTTTTTAGGACAAAAGATGCTAATGTATAGTTGTTTTTCACTAAACCATAACCTCAGTATTCAGGCTTCATTTGCAGGGTTGACACTTTTGCATAAATAAGTGGTTTGGGGTCACAGTTTGGGCACTCGTCTCTAAAAGGTTTGCCATCACTGGTCCACAGGGAGACAAGTTCCGGCTTACATGCCAGGTACAATGTCAAGTCCTCTGGGTTCACGGGAAGCTGTCCTTACCTCTACTGTACAGTAAAGAAGTTGAGACTAAAGAAATTCAACACCAAGGAGACTTTGTGTTGAACCCAGAAGCCAAGTTATTAGCTGTGTCTACTATCGAGGGATCTTAACCAGGACTCAGGAACTCAGATGGGAAAACAGTTTACATCCTTCTTTGCACTGCCACTGATATTTAACATTTTCTTCTGAGAAGTCACAGCAATATTAGCAGAATCTATGATTTTGTCACCAAAGACATCAGATACAGTGCTGACAGTACCTGTTACTATTCTTTACTGTTTCAAAATTAGCTTAGCCAGGGCAAGCAAGCAGAGGAAAGGGAAAGGAAGGGAACTGAGCTGTGTCACCTACATGGAGAAACTGCCCACAATGAATCAATCATTACGTATTGCAAACAGGTACTCATAAAAAGTAAACAATAAAAAGATTATGACAGCTGTTAGACTCGCTTCTGTATCTTATTTAGTCAAGCTTTAGTTTTTTCAAAGCACTTACAACAGTATATCAGAAACTCTTTTAATATTCTGACAAGTGTTTCCCAACTGGTTTCTCTGGTAGTGCTCTGCCTTACACCTTTGAAAGATTGCTCTGGAAGAAGAGTCAGTTCTCCCAGAAGTACCAAAGGAGTGCCCGGAAAAAACGGGTCAGAACCTGGCACTGGAGGAAGGGGCAGACAGATGACCACAAATCCAGAAGCTCTGCTCTCTGAGCAAAAAAGCCAGGCTGGGATTTCCAGGACAGAGGCCCAGACCGCACCATGCCCCGCTTCCCGCCTCTGCCTGTTCCGTGGGACCCCACTCTCGGCTCCGCGGTCCCCGGGGGCAGGGCAGCGCCACGCACCCCTGACCCCAGCCCCGTCTGAGCGCCCCTCGCGCGCGCCCTGGGACCCTGGGCGACAGCCCTGGAGCAGCTGGCGCCCAAACCCCGCGCAGCAAGACCGCGGATACTTGGGAGACTGCGTTTGTGTTAGTTTTGTTTTTCTTTTTTGTTGCAGCCAAGAATGGGACGTGGGTTTTAATTCCCGCGCCCCCGGCCAGGCAGCCCCGCCGCCACCCCAAGACTCTGAGCCTCGGGTGGAAAAAGCCAAAGTCCCCAGCGCCGGGCTGCAGGGCGCCGAGGGGACTCGCGTGGGGACCCCCGTCCCGGCCACCGCTGTCCCGCCCGGTCCCTCCCCAGCCGGACCCAGATCGGCGGCAGCGCCTCTTACCGGAGGGTGCGCGCAGCGGTGAGTGCGCTGCCCGGAGCCCGGCCGCGCTGGCCCCGCCCGGGGCGAGGCTGGGGGCGGGGAGAGCGAGGTGCACGCCGCTCCCCCGCCGGAAGGAGAGGTCCCGGCTTCGCAGCCACCCGCGGACCCCGGAGCCCGCCGGCCGGTGGGCGACCTGGCTCGCCAGGCCCTGCGCGCTCCCCGGCTCCCCGCCGAGACCCCGCTCTCCCCGGGAGGTCCCCGAGCCAGAGCGGCCCGGAAGCTCAGCGACTCTGCGGCCGGGTCAGCCGGGCCCTCGCCGCGCGGGGCGGAGGCCACCGGCAGGCGCCAGGTGGAGACGCCTCTCCCGGGTCCCAGGACCGCGTGGCCCGGAAATCGTCCTCGTGCAAGTTAAGCCCCGCTAACTTCAGAAGTGCAAATTCCCCTCTCCAAAAAGGAAAAAAAAATCCTTGGGAAGTGTAATTGCTTCTTTGAGCCTTTTTAGTCTGGCAGTTTTTAATAATATTAATTCTTTGTCTCTCAATCTGCATTTCCTATGTTCACCTAGAGGGACCTTGAGTCTTGGGGAACTCGGCACCAGCACCCCAGCTGCACACGCCGGCAGACTTCTGCCCAGTATTGGTATCCGTATCCGTCTCGGGTTCCACCTGCGGCATTGGAGACAGGATTTTCTGTGATTTGCAACAAACCTGATTAAAGGAATTCTAACTAAAATAAAGTGTAAACTTCTCTCGATTTTTACCCGTAGATCCATTCTAGGAAATTTCAGTACATTCTCCAAACCATTTCACAATGCTTAACGTTTCTTAGCATCAGAGCTGAAACGACTGATTTTACCAAAAAGAAAAAAAAATTGTAACATAACTGAGTATAGGGGGAAGAGGTGGGGCATCAAAAACTTGCATGGGACCCGGGATGGCGCTGGGCATAGAGCTCAGGATACTGGCACCCTAAGTCGGGTCTCAAAATTCGTGACCAAAATACCCCAACACCACCACGCGTCTTCCCTGGACAATAAACACCTCACAGTATTCGGGACCGTGAGTGGCAAAAGTTATTTTGGGGTGCACAAAGCACCACTCTCGGTAAGAATGTACTAATTTGTATCTGGTTTTTCCCCCAGATCCATTTTATTTCAAGGAGAAGAGGAAGAGGAAGAGGAGAAGGAGAAAGAGAAGCAGGAGGAGAAGAAGAAGAAAAGAAAAAGAAGAAGAAGAAACTAAAAATTTCAGAACACATCAATTAGAGGACAACAGTGGACACTATCTGTTTTCCATGCGTTGCTCTGCGGTATTTTTTTTAAGCACCTACCTCCTAGGATCCTTGAAAATGTGAGTTAATCCATGAAAGTGATCGGTACTGTACCTGGCACAGACTTAGTATTTGGTAGCAGCAGGAGCCAGTACTGCGGCAGTTGGAATTATGTTATTGCTGTGGTTTAATGGGGGCCCACTCCAAAACCCACAGTGAAATTTTATTGCCATTGTTAGGGCACTAAAAGGTGGTGTGTGCCCATCGTCGGGGCTGGGTCGTTGCCCAGCTAAAGGGCGAGTTCATCTCCATGTCTCCTGCCTCCCTCCCTTCCCTACAGTCTGCCCCGGGTCTGCTGGGTGACTTTGTGGAAGGAGGCCCTCAGCAGGCACCAGCAACCTGACCCTGGCAGACTTCTCCAGAGTTGCCAGCCGATAGTCTCTGTCCACTCTAAATTGCCCATCCCACCTGCTGTGCTGCAGTGGCACAGGGCATGGTGGCTGGGGTGACCCGTTCAGGGGCAGGTGTTACACTGAGCACAAACATCCCTGCCCTATGACAAATGGAAGAGTAAGTATCGGCCCACGGTGTGTGAATTACTGGACCCCACTTCTCAAAGGGGAGAGGTAACCGAGATGTGGGAAAGGGGGCTCTTCACTGACTGGGTAGTGACACTGCACTGCAGAGTTGACACTGAACCTGACAGTGGGATCCTGGGGAAACAGCAGTCTTTCTCCTGAGAACACCAGCTCCCACTGTCTGGTTAACCTTCAACTGAATTGTTTTTTTAAGACAAGGTCTTGCTATGTAGTTCCTGGCTGGCCTTAAACTCACAGAGATCCTCCTGCCTCAGCCTCCTGAGAGCTGGGATTTAAAGCATGTGCTTCCACACCTGGCTAGTTAGCCTTCAGTATCCTGGCCCAGTACCTGCTACCCTTCATTTTGTGCAGCCCTGCCACAGGCTGCCTTGCACTTCACTCCCAGTTACTCAACCCACACTTGGATTGAGGCCAGCAGAACCCACATCCCCCAGGCAGGAACACACACACACATTTGCCATTCCCAAAGAAACAGTCTGCTGCAGCTACACCCACCTGTAAGAAATCCTCACGGGAGATCTACCTGCAGGTTGAAATGAAGACCTTAAGACAATAAATCAAAGCTTGTGAAGAAATAAAGATGTCAAGAAAGGTAAATGCAGGGGCAATTATAAAAGATTTTATAACAGTGTAACAATAAAAGTTATTGCGATCATGGCTTGTAATTTGACTTGTTGTTTTCCACGTGATTTAAGGGGCTGATGTAAGGAACAGCACAAGGAAGAGACCTCCGGAGACCCCAGGCTTGTGCAAAGGCAACATGACGATAATTTATGGTGTCTGGGCAGGCAGATAGAGGGCGAAAGGCCATCCATGTGGAGCAGAGAAAAGCTGAGCCTTTCATGGCCCTTGAAGAAGGGGTTCAGAAGGGTAGATCAGGAGGGAAAAGATCTGGTGAGGAGCGCTGGGCAAACACCTGTGGTCAGATGTGTCCAGCCTCTCAATGGTCAAAGTCCTCGGAGCATCCATCGTGAATGCATGGATGTTATCAGACATCATGGCGCTTAGAAAATTCCAGGCTCTATCTCTTCTTTTACAACATCCTGTGTTTGCCCAGGGTCACAGCAGTGGTGCTGAGCTGGGGTTTTACAGAGAACAGTGCCACTGCTGACAAACAGGTTGGTGCTGGGAAAGTCGATCCTCACAATTAAAACACTTTTAAAAAATGTGTTAGTCTAAAGGCTAGGATTACCATTAGTATTTGCATTGGTATTACTTTACTTTGTAACTCCACATTTGTTTCTATATAATTTAAGAGACTAACAATTTAGGGGACTAAAAGAATGGTTCATTCACATTTGTGATATCGATTAGCAAGAATTGGAGCCTGAGCTGTTAAAGGAGCAGAGTCTTTATTGTTATTAAAATTAACCTGGCATCAGTTCAGGTTTGAATGACTTAAAGTTATCAAATGCAATGCCCACAGCAGTCACAAAGAAAATACCCACAGATTATATATAAAAGGAAATGAGAAAGAAATCCAAATATTCCACTACAAAAAAATCAACCGAACAAGGCCAGATGTAGTGGCACCCATCTGTAATCCTAGCACTCAGGAGGCTGAGGCAGGAAGATTGCTGCAAGTTCAAAGTCAGCCCAGGTTGCATTGTAAGAGCCTGTCTCAAATCCTACCCCTCCCGCAAAAAATCAGCTAAGTAAAGGATTATAGTAAAGGAAGTAAGAGACCAAAAACTATGAAGCATAGAGAAAGCAAATAGTAATATAACAGAAGTCCTTCATCAGCAGTAAATACTAAAAATTCAATATTGGGTTAAACTCTCTATCCAAATGACAGTGTCATAATAAATCTAAAACACATGAACCAACTATATGCTGTCTTAAAGAGACTTGATTTATAACAATTCACAAATGTAATAGCTCAGACCCCGGAATAAAACCCAAGGAAGCAAGAAATTAAAATTTGGGGAACAAAGGCTTTATTTTAGGCAGGCCTGGCTTCACAGTCTCCAGGAGCCAATTTGGAGACTGCGCCCTTACAGCTAGAAAGATTGGGTTTTAAAGCCGAAAACCACAGGAATGTTGTAATCGCTGACACAGTTAGGTAGCATCTGGGCTTTATAGAACTTCCTGTAATTTCCTTTAAGTTAAGAATTTATTAAAGAACAGCACATTTTATTACAGATAGCCAGATGAGGGGTAGGGTAGGGGGTTACAGGAAACTGATACCTAAGGCTTTTACAGCTTTCTCAGGAAATAGAAACTTAACCTAGAAAGATAGGAAGGGAAGGGGATTTACAAGGAGCTGAAACTTAGGTCTTTACTGGAGATTGAATTTTAATCTCTAATGAAACGGCACATACAGAACAGGAAAGGGGTGCAAGGGTTAAAACTAGGCTATAACAACAAATAGATTAAAGTGAAAGCACAGAAAAAATATTCCATGTAAATAGTAGCCCAAACAGATCAACATGGCTATATTAATACAGATGAAATGGACTTTTGATCAAAAAAGGATGAGAGAAAAGCAGGGTGTTATGTATTAATATAAAAGGCTCAATACAGCAAAAAGAGATAGCAATCATCAACCTTTGTGTACCTAATAATAGACCATCAAATATGGGAAGCAAAACCTTACAGAACAGAAGGGAGGAACAGACAGCCATCTGATAATAATTAGACACTGCAGTATACACTCTTAACATGAAAAGAACAACCCGAAAGCAGATAAGGAAACACAGGATTTAAAAACAAATCACCCTGATCTTCCAAAACAGCCAATAACAATAGCATACATTCTCGAGTGTACTTGGGACATTTCCTGAAATATGCGAAGTTGTAATGCTCAAAGGATTTTTTTTAATTGCTATCCTACAAATTATCTTCTGCAACCAAAATGGGATGAAGTCAGAAATCAGTAACATAAATAAAACTGCAAAGCCCACAAACCTGTGCAGATTAAACACCACACTGTTAAACGACCAGTGAATAAGGAAGAAGTCACAGGGGAACCGAGAGACAAACAAAACCGAAAGCAGAGCCACGGGGGAAATTCGCACAAAGCAGCCAGGTCAGCTGACCCAGGGCCACCGGCCAACTTCGGCTGCTCACCACCCGGCCTGCTGCCACCACATGAGGACGTCTGGCAGCTGCAGTCTGAGAAGCCAGCGAAAGACCCAGAGGCTGAAGCAGGCCAAGACAGGAGGAGATGGGCTGACACAGAACCACACCACGTACAGATAAGGAGCTGACACAGATGCAGCCCGGAGCCCCACAGTGGCTGCTGCAGCTGGGAGCTAAAAGAAAGACCCAGGATGAGGTGACTGTGTCCGGTGGAAGGGGGTGAAGCCTTGGGGATCCCGTCAGCCCTTGTCTGTGACATCCAGCAAAAAGCCCATGAAACTACTGTGTCCGTGGCCAGAAAAACAAGGGCCCGTTTCATGAATTTGTATGTTTGATGCCCTTGCGAAATACGAAGCAATAGCAAAACCCAGATCAAGTTCTTACGAAAAGCATTGAATTATTTTCCTATGTTATGAAATAGAGCACTTCACTTTCTGGACAGAATTTAAGAATTTATTACATGTGACTACGTGGATTACTGATAACCATGACTTTTGTTATGGGAAAAAAAACCAAGATCTCAAATCAGTTTATAATTTAAGGAACTAGACAAAGGGTAACAAACTAAATCCAAAGCTAGCAGAAGGGGGGAAATAATGAAGATTAAAGCAAAAATAAAATTTAAATCAAAATCAATTAAATCAAAGGTCGGTATAGATGAAATAAATTCCTGAAACACAAAACCTACCAAGACTAAATTTTAAAGAATAGAATATTTAAATAGACCAATAATAAGTAAGGACATTGAATCAGTAATTTTATTTTATTTTTTTTTTAATTTTTTAAAATTTTATTTAAGGAGAAAAGAAAAAAAAAGCAGGGAAAGGGTACAAGTTATACAGATTTACAGAAAAAAAAAATGAACAGTAGGAAATCACTAGTTAATGGATTACATATTGCCATCTTAGAAATAATTGTTCAAGTCACAAAATTAAAGCTTGTAAAGTGGACATTCCATCAATGATACTGCAAACAGTTCTGTTCATTGATTCAATAAAACTCTGTGATATCATTTTCTATCTTATACACTTAAATATACATGCAGTTATATAGTTTGGAGCACTTTCTTTTCCTCTCTTTTGTACCATGACTATTACACATTTTGGGTTTCATTGCTCCCACGGTTCTTATTACTTTTTTGGAAGACAGTAAAACCAAATGTGACATAACAGAACAGAATCGGTCAAGTCAAATCGGGTGGACATAATAGATAATGTAAAAACATAATACAAGGTGATCAACAATGGTTACCA